CCCCACCCCCACCCCAAAAAAAAACAAAAAAAAAGAAAGGACCCATCATGGTTTAGGGAAATGTTAAATCTGGCCCTGTTTTCATAGTTTATTCATTGTTTTCCTTCTAGGAGCTTCTATGAAATCTAACACACCTAGCAAGTTAACCCTGACAATGCCTTGGTCAGTATCTAGATAGTTCCCAACTACCTGCAGTTTTGATTGAAGCACATTATACAGGAAAATATATGTGAAATTCTGTGCAACCATATGCTGAAGCGATGTTCTTACTATAAAACCAGTAATTTAGTAAAGCAGGTGGTCCATAAAAGAAGCTAAATAAAAGCAAAAATAATGTTTTTGTCATGCAAAATTAGAAGATCCAGTATTTAAGTGAAATGGCGTAGCAACAGAACTAACATTTCTAGAAGCTTCAAACGGTGAAACGTAAGAATTTCCTCAATTAATCAAGATAGGACGTGGAGAGAGCAAGAGGGGAGTGACTTCTAGGCATGGCCAAGTGGCTGAGAGAGGAGCGAGAAATGGAGGAAAGGAATGAGGAGAGGATGGTCAAGCTTGAATAACTTGATACCTGTGCTCTAACTCGAGAGGTAGTGTGAAAGTGTGCAAGGTCTAGCAATCAACTTGCACACTGATCAAGTATGTCAATCTACAAAGTTGCCAATCAGATCTTCGTACAAGGAACTAAGACGTTTGTTCAGGAGTGCACAGGTACCAAATTGCCAGTAAGCAAGTGCTGCCAATCAGATTTTAGAAGAAACTAAAATCACCAGCAGATTACACTATTGAAGCCCCCCCACCCACACCCAAAAAATAAAATCTCTAACAAGATTCTTTTTCTATTTTCCATCTTAGTATTACTGCAACACTTTCTCGCAATCAGATTTGCTCCACCAAGAATTTTCACTTTATCAAAAAATAAGCCTTTAGTTGGTTCCTGTAGCCAAATCCCAGAGGATGACTCCTGCATATTCTCAAGTTTGATAGAGTTTTGTAAACAATTCAAGTTTTAATTGGGAAAGGCAATGATGATAAAGATGATTGGTCAAAAATATTGCAGTTCAAGTATTTTGCAAGCAATAGATTCCAGCTTAAGCTTTTATTTTTGGCAAAGTCACTCACATTTAACAGCATAGTAATGATATAGGATTATAGGCTATTAACATCTTAAATGCTGAACATATATCAGATTGGACTTTAAACGGAGTGGTTACCAAGGACGATGAAAAAACAACTTTATATAGAAAATAAGAAACAATATGGGTATATCATCAGCTACAGATGTGACCCATCTCAAATATCACAAGACATTTACATGCTTGCCTCAAAAGTATAGGTTGTAGCGATCACAATACGGCTCACCAAAGGCGTTAAAAGTCAGGATAAGTAGGTTAGCTAACAAAAATAATCAACCATAGAAATACAACATAACACTAGAAGTTTAGACAGTAAAGTATTGGCTCGTAGTAAAGACATCTGCACATAAAACATAGGCCAAAGTGGTGCTTCACTCACCTGATTACGGTAAACAATGTATCCAATGCATAAGAAAACCAATATGAATGGCAGAATTAGTGGAGCCAATATGAAATAAGCAAGCCCAAGAAGCCCAAATAGGAGAATTCTAGGTATTTCGCTATGATATGGGATCGAAGGTGTATGAAATTCTTTATCCATACATCTGCAACAATGCCTGCCCATCCAATCACCAACAAGAGTGACCAACCGTGTGACTTCTAAAGATAGACTAGTCCATGATGTAACAACAAAGGCAACAAAGAAAGAGGCCTATAAAAAGAAACAAAAAAGTTCGATCAATGAAATATATGCAAAATACCAAATAAGCAATAATCTTCACACTGAAAGATATACTTGCGCAGTAGAACCAAAGAATTAGCTTAAGGAAATCACAGGTGATCCTATAATAGGCATAACGACAGTCACAATACTTTTGGAGACATTTGAGGGTGTAATTGCGACTTCATAAGAAAATTTTTGGCCCACCAATTAATGTATTTGGTCAAAAGCAAGCATCATTCTTTTATAATATTTTATTATTTTTATATTTTTTAATTTTTCCAACAATGGTACTAATGAATACATAAAGCTCCTCTATCCAGGAATTCATTAACATTCAACGAACCAGAATTTGTCAGATTATAAGCTCAAACTCCATCCAGGAAATTGACATCCAATGCAGTTACTTTGACAAGCGGAAGAATAAATATATGTACGGACAACCAATCATAAACAATTCTAACTGTTTATTCACCATCACGAAGACAAAGTTGACCAATAATACGTGGAGATCTTTCCTCCTTTAAAAAGGAAGGTTAATTGCAGCTAGACCCCTTTACTACCGCCTACATGTCGATAGACGCCCTATACTTCCATTATTGCAGATAGATCCCCTGAGTGAAATTTTGAACACTTTTACCTCAGAATATCTATTTCTCAAAAAAAATTCTCTCTCCAAAGGTAAAAAGAGATTAAAACTCACTTTGGGCTCTATCTGCAGCAATAGAACTAGAGGGGACCTATCTACAATATGGGTGATAGTACAGAAGGTCTATCTGCAATTAACCTTAAAAAGAATTAGATAAAGGGTAAACCAGTGACCAACTTTTAGGTTAGAAGAAAACTACGAGATGCACAAACAACTTCAATAATTCATCCTGATTACGGCTTAAGAAGGTAAGATTACAATGCAAAAGATAATAATCATCACATTCATAAAGTGCCGGACAAAGGGATATCAAAGACAAAAAGAAGAACTAGCACAATATTGTTCGGTAGTTCACCCGATATCCAAGGGATCTACGATCAATGAGGAAATAATTGGATGTGTTATGATATGTGTAGCTCTAGGATCTCTCACTTTCAACACTGCAAGTTTCTTAGTTCAGACATTGCAATTATCTTCATTTAGCGTTCTTCCATCTGTTACTAACCCAATTTTCATGTGAGTCCAATTTTCCAAAAACAAAACCTGGATATTATAGCAAGTCTCCTGATCCATAATTCCCCTTGATGCCTTGAAACTATAATATTCAATTTTAGAAATACATGGTTGCTATCATCTATGCTTCATCCCATCAGCATTGGTTGGATATACAGCTTAAGATTCTATCATAAGAGTTATCATCAGATAGGAGATCGGGGCCAAATTTCTGGTCAATGTGACTATGGAGGATAAAAGCCTTTCCTATAAATCCTATAAGGCAGTGGTGGATAGAAGCCATTTTTCTATCTATATTATCACGAAAGTTAATCTTGTGCGACCAGGGAGAAAAAGTAGTTGAGGCTGAAGTCTCGAATGACTTTGAACACCTCCAAAATTCTCCAAAGAAAGATATGGTAGGAAAGGTAAAATGGATTTGCTACAGGGATTACATTATGACAAAATAAAACCAAATAGAACCCCAAAAAAAACATACTTATATTCTTTAAAGCATGCTGAATTTTGCCTATTGTTCAAAGAGCTCAAAACCTCGGACGTTACATCTCTATGATAATAAACATGACAATTGATCTCAACGATAATTAAACATATATTATGTGAATTGGTTTGAGACTGAATCCTACATTGTGTGTAATGCACGTGAATATCACTTGGACCATCAAAACTTATCTAACAGCAGCTTTCCTCTATGACCTTAAATTCAACTTTCGACTTCCTGTAATCCTACTCCAGGCTACAATTTTTTTAGAGATTCCTATCTATTTGTTTACGACTGATCTACCAAGTTCAAGATACCATTTCACACATCTATTACTCCTTTATTGTTCAATGTGAAAAAAAGCAATGAGCAGAATACCAATAAAGTCCGTTCATTGTTTAAGCTCATAAAAAATTAAGAAATAATATATCGACTTAAAATGCAATATGTAGTCAAAACACATACACTGATGCTGTTCTATCTACTACATTTTGCAGACTTTGCTTTCCAAGTTAAAGATAACTTGAAACTACACAGTAAAGTGATTTTACCTGAGCAGGTACAACAATAGCTAAAACACGAGGAATATCCTTCAGATCAAGAAATATCTGGACTTGACTTGCAACCGATCCAGTAAGCACGTTTGCAAAAAAGATGTTCCATATGGTGAACAAAAGCATTTTGCTACAAGCACTCTTCTCAATCTCACTATAAGCTATGTACCCTTGCATGCTGGAGAAAAGCTTCATGATAGATGGCACGAGAGATAAAATCAGTTGAAGAATGACACTGGGAAGATAACCTGTAATTACTTGACTTACAATGGCTCTGCATTGCACATTTACAGGGGATCAGTATTCGGTGAAGAAGTTCAATCATTGTCTTCTATAGAACTTCATTGGTTGCCAGAATAAATTATAAATGGATCCCGAATAAATGAAATATCAGTGCAAGGCAGCACGGAAAATGGACTGTGGAAACTTAAGTATCGTGATAAGGAAAAGAAAACCTACTCTAACTTATTAATCATTAATTTTGTACACAAAAAAAAAACTCCAGTTAACAATCCAATGAGCAACAACTATCTTCCTTTATACCCTGTTTGAATCGGGAAATGAAGGGTAGGAGAACGAGATGACAAAATTCACCTTGTTTGGGAGTTTTGGGGGGTGGTCAGGATGGGGTTGAAAAGTTCACGCCTTACCAATGTGATTTGTTCGGGAGGGGAATGAAGCTCCCTTTTCCTTTCCCTCCCCTCACTTCTCCTCCATCCCCTTCTCCTCCTTACCACAATTTTGGACCAAATTTTGGACTTTTGGTGTAGCGCAAGGGTACTTTAACAACCATTACCAGATGATAAATAAGAAAATTATAAATTAAACCATCCCATTTAGTTGGAGGATGCAAAATCTGAAGTTCAGCTCTCCCGGGGAATTCAGTAATCTGCATTATGCCGACTATTCCCTGAAAGAACATAGCAAAAGTCTGATGTAACCCAAGTATTAGTCTGCCTGAAATGTGAAAAAAGTAAAATTACGCCCTCAAGAATGGTATAACTACACTGCAGTACATTACAGAAATATTTGGGGATCAGTTTGGGGAGAACTGCAGAGGCTTGCCCTGAAGCAAATATTTGGGGATCAGTTTGGGGAGAACTGCAGAGGCTTGCCCTGAAGCGATTATTTAAAACTAGTATATTAGCACGTGCAAACACAAGTGCTACGTCAATTTTTTATCTAAACAATCTTCAGTCTTACATTTTAATTATATTATTATCATTTTCTGTGTATTCACAGGATTTCTAGTAAAAAAAAAGCACAAGCATAATTCACGTAATCAAATTAATAAGAAAATTCTTATCATTTAATGTTGTATCATGAGGATATATTAATTTTAAATTTGTTAGAAGAGTGTACGAGTATTAGTTTAACATTAGTTTAGTCCCATATTGCCTGTGAGACTAATTTGTAACTAATCCATCTCTATAAATAATAAAATATAGAGTGAGGGGAAGGCACCCCAAGAAAAACTCTTCTCTCTCCAAATCCCAACATGGTATCAGAATCTATCCAACCCTAATACTAATCCAAATTCCTAAGCCAAACCCTAACCGCCAAAACCCTAGCTGCCTCTCTCCAAAACCCTAGCCGCCAAAACCCTGCAACCGCCTTATCGTCCTCATCTTTCTCGTCCTCGCATCGTCATCGCCCTCATCTTCCTCGACAACTCCTCGTCCTCGTCCATCCAATCCACGTCCTCGTCCTCGAGCTTCTCTCACCCGATGCGATAACTCCCACCCGACGCCGCTCATCGTTGATGACTAACACCACCATGAGGCCTTCGCTCGCCGCCGCCATGCCCGCCGCTCCCTTTTTCATTTTCGAATCTAAATCAGATCTGCGAGTTGTCCTGTAAAAAAAAACTTCGGGTTCCATCTTAACCTTCGGGTTTCATGTTAACATTCAGGTTCTTGCACTTTAACCTTCGGGTTTAAAATTAAACCTTCAGGTTCTTGGACTTGTTCAGCCTACTGGCTAATTCAAGACCTATTTTCTTGAATTTAGACATACTTTGATTGTTTCCATTTTGGAGTACAACTTGTGGGGATATTGTCTTGAACTCTACTCGTCTGTTTCATGATGGTTGGATCGGAGAAACTCAAGAATTCTGAGTTAACGGTCCAGACAAAAGTTTCGGAGATATTTTCTGGTAGAATCACTGACCGGAACCTGATGGAATTAACTATTTCCAGTGAAAGCGTGTTATTAAAATCTACGTGGTAGACCGAGGAAAAACTAATCATTTGTTGACAGGCCCTCCTACTCTGACACCGGAATCTTAGACATTGGACGATAGTGTCCTCTTGCATCAACTTCTTAATACTATAGAGCCTAAAATTAAGGATTTAGTTCTTTATTGTATGATAGTGAAGAAACTTTGGTGTTTTTTACAATATCTCTATGGGAGTAGCAGCAATATTAATTGGACATATGAAGTAATTCAAGAGCTATTTCGTAAGAAACAGGATGATAAACCCATGGATGATCATTATGGTGAGTTCAATCGTCTGGCTGAGGAACTTCATCAAATTTTTTCTATTACTGGGGATATAAAACCAATGCAGAACCAATAAAACAAACTTATGGTTCTCACCTATTAAGGCACCCTAGATTCCATTTACTCCTCTGCTCGACCATAAATCATGGGGAGCTCCGTCATTAGTTCTCTGACTGAAACTTATCACTTTCTGAAAAACACTGTCCCTGCACAGCCACTCACATCCACTGCGAATCGCTCTGCGCTTGTCACTCAGTGTTAACAGTCTTATGGACGATGTCATACTGGTGGTCCTGGAAGAGGTAAAGGAAACTTTGAAGGGAGAGGAGGTTACCACACTGATCGTTCTGGAGACCCAGGTGATCAACAAGGTGGCCGTGGAGGTCTATCTCAAGGCAGACATGCTCATGGCGATGACTCAGTTAAGACTTGTAACTACTCGCACCAGCCAGAACATCTCAAATATAATTATCCTGAATTAGAAAAGAAGAAGGCCAAGGGTGCTTACATGACCGCTCAAGACAACCTCACTTCATCTGATAGTGAAATTCAACCACAGTCACTCTTCCATGATGCGAAGTTACAGCGTCAATTTCAGCAATTTTAATTATTTTAGTAGTACCTAAGTTCACAAACATCGTCTTCTTCTTTATCTGCTACTCTCAAAAGTGCAGGTACCCCTTTATCTTTACTTACATCGTTTTCATCTCATACTTGGATTATAGATACAGGTATCACTGATCATATGACTGAGAATCAATGTATCATGTTCTCTTTCTCTCCTACATCTAATTCAGTTATATTAGCTGATGGTTCACGTACACCTGTTCAGGGTGTCGGCAACACTAATCCCTAAGTTCACAAACATCGTCTTCTTCTTTATCTGCTACTCTCAAAAGTGCAGGTACCCCTTTATCTTTACTTACATCGTTTTCATCTCATACTTGGATTATAGATACAGGTATCACTGATCATATGACTGAGAATCAATGTATCATGTTCTCTTTCTCTCCTACATCTAATTCAGTTATATTAGCTGATGGTTCACGTACACCTGTTCAGGGTGTCGGCAACACTAATCTTACCCCGAGTCTTCCCCTTTCCTCTGTATTCTATCTTCCTAGTTTTTTCTATAACCTTTTATCTGTTAGTAAGATTATTAAATTACTAAACTGTACTGTGACATTCTTCCCCACACATTGTGTCTTTCAGGACCTAGTCACGAGTAAAATGATTGGGACGGGACATGAGCAGAACAGCCATTATAAGCTGGACTTGGCGTCAAAATTTTAGCTTGTATTGGTAACTCATCAGGTCTACAATACCATTGTTAGCTAGGGCATCCCTCTCTCTATGTTCTCAAGCTTCTAAATCCTCAGTTCAAATCTCTTTCCTCATTAGAGTGTGAGTCGTGTTAACTTGACAAACATCATCTTGTGTCTTATCCTAATCGAGTCAATAAGAGGGTTGTTAAATCATTTGATCTTGTTCATTCTGATGTGGGGGCCATGTCTAATAACTTCTAAATTGGGATTCCGATACTTTGTCAGTTTTGTGGACGATCGCTCTCGTGTTACTTGGATTTATCCTCTCAAGTCTATGTCTAAAGTCTTTTTTACTTTTAAACTCTTTTATTCTGAAATAGTCAATCAATTCAAGACTTCGATAAAAAAAATTCCGATCTGATAATGCAAACGAATATTTGGATGACATCACTAGTTTTCTTGAACATGAAATTCTTCATCAGTCTTCTTGTGTTTACACTCCTCAGCAAAATGAAACTGCTAAACGAAAAAATAGACACCTCATTGATATTGCTTGGACCTTGTTATTCCATCGTCGCGTTCCCAAAGAATTTTGGTAAGAATCTATCTTAACAACATGTTACTTGATTAATTGAATGTCCTCTTTTGTTCTGCAATATAAAATTCCTTTCAAAGTTCTATACCCTAACGATGATCTATTTTCGCTTCTTCCAAAGATTTTTTACTCTCTGTGCTTTGTTCATAATCACAGTCCAAATAAACAAAAAAAATTCTGTTCTGCAAGATAAAATTCCTTTCAAAGTTCTATACCCCAACGATGATCTCTTTCCGCTTCCTCCAAAGATTTTTGACTCTCTGTGCTTTGTTCATAATCACAGTCCAAATAAACAAAAGTTTGACTCTCGATCTATTAAAAGTATTTTTCTTAGCTACTCCCGAAAGTATAAAGATTACAAGTATTTCTGTCCGTCACTCAATCGTCGTGTTATCTGCTGATGTAACATTCTTTGAAGATAAACCTGGTCATTCTAGTTCTCCATCTCCATTATCATCGGGTGAGTATAACTATTTAATCATGTAAGTCATTAGTTAACGCTGGTGGTTCATCCGCTGATAATACTATTTGCGCTACTGATAAAGACTCGGCTCAGTTTAACGACTCAATTTAAGTTTATCATCGTCGCTCTGCTCCTGTGCCAACGTTGGCCTCAACACTACGCCCTCCGTCCAAAGAACCTGAATCAGTAAGTGCAAATTTACCCTCTTCTGCGAAAGACCTTCCTATTGCACTTCGAAAAGGAACACGAACTTGTACTCAACATCCTATTTCTAACTTTGTCTCCTATGATCTCTACCTTTCGATCTTTTGTTACTTCCCTCAACTCATATTTGGTTCCCAAGAATATATCAGAAGCCATGTCTATTCCAGGTAGGAACCAAGTGATGCAGGACGAAATGAGGGCCTTGCAGCAGAATGAGACTTAGAATTTGGTCTCACTTCTACCA